GAAAGGTTGAGATTTTGTTAAAAGACTTGAAGAAAATAGTAAAATAGAGTGAGAGAAAAGAGAAAATTTTAAATTTATTCTGATTTTGTTCATATTTGGTGGAGATTAAAATCATTTTTCTAGTAAATTTTGATAAAGGTTAAATAGTAATGGATTCCATGAAATATGTTATTAAAATTAATTGTTAACTTTAATTTAAATTAAAACTTAGATTTCAATCGATACCAAACACGACTTTATAAAAAAAAATCTCAAAAGTTGGGGGTCACATGACCCCCCACCCCTACCCAACCCACTCCTCGATATGCCCATGATCATGGATCCAAGAAGATGGAATTGGAACTTGTCCTAATGTGTTCGATAAAATTATTAAAAGAGTAAATGTTCATGATTAAGTTGTGCAAAAAATCGATATGTATGACTTATTCCATTTTTAGTGTAATAATTAAAATGACAGTTTGAAATTATTCATGTTATTTAATGTTCTTAATTTAGCGATCAAATATATTCCCCTCATGTGACACTTTTGTCTCTCGATGAAAGATGCAAATATGTAAATACATTAAGAAGTGATAGAACGTGTATTGAAACCATATAAAGCATAAATGTATACTTCTATCATCCATTGAACTTTACAATATTTATTATATTGTGTTTAAATTCTATTGTCTCTTTCGATAACAATAAGATCCATTAACAATTCAATTAGTGATCAAATAATTGAAAATAACGATAAAAATAATAATAAACATTCACACATCAAACAAAATTAAAGTAAAAATAATATCTGCTAAAACGTGTTTGACAACTAGCAATTAATCACATGGCTACAGCCCAACTAATAACATCTCTGTTAAGAGAAATAGAGAGTGTAAATACAAAGACTTTTAACACTTTTTTAGACAAATTAGCTAAAAAGTAACAAGTCCACTTGATACAATAAGCGCATATTTGCCTTTTCCTACTCTGTAGCAATGCAAGAATGTTGCTGTATTAGTGTCTGTGTCCGTGTCTACTGTCTGTGTTTGTGAAAGGATTCTACCATGGACAGGGGCGGACGAAGACATTTTAGGTTGGGGGACACAAATAAACCATGAACACATCGAATATTTTGTTCTTAATTTTTGAATAATTCATACTTGACTTGAAACAATGCAGATTTACATTAAAAAAAACATTTCTTCATTAATATTTTGGTAATCATTTTCATCCATTTGATTTCGAATAATCATTTTATTAATATTTTGTTAATCACAAGAAAATATATATTTACGTTTAAAAATGTTATAGTGTATTTGATACAAACAATCAATTCAAGCAATCAAAAGAAAAAATATATAACTAATATTTAATACTAACAATCAATCAAATAAACACAATTCGTTAACTCTGTAGCAATGCAAGAATGTTGATGTATTAGTGTCTGTGTCCGTGTCTACTGTCTGTGTTTGTGAAAGGATTCTACCATGGACAGGGGCGGACGAAGACATTTTAGGTTGGGGGGACACAAATAAACCATGTACAAATCGAATATTTTGTTCTTAATTTTTGAATAATTCATACTTGACTTGAAACAATGCAGATTTACATTTAAAAAAACATTTCTTCATTAATATTTTGGTAATCATTTTCATCCATTTGATTTCGAATAATCATTTTATTAATATTTTGTTAATCACAAGAAAATATATATTTACGTTTAAAATGTTATAGTGTATTTGATACAAACAATCAATTCAAGCAATCAAAAGAAAAAATATATAACTAATATTTAATACTAACAATCAATCAAATAAACACAATTCGTTAAATATTAGTCAAATTGGAAATAATGAGTTCAGACACATTCTATATACACAGTTTGATAGGAGAAAATGTAAATTTAGGTTCTAATTACTTGAAAATTTGATTGGAAAGTAAAAATTTGTAGTAAATGTTATAATTTGTTGAGAAATTATATACAAATTTTAAAAAATTAGAAGGGTTAAAATTTTGTTAAAAGACGTGAAGAAAATAGCAAAAGAGAGCAATAGAAAAGAAAAAAAATTCAAATTTATTGTGATTTTACTCTTGTTTGGTGGAGATTAAAATTAATTTTTTAGTAAATTTATATTGCGCTTAAATTCTATTATTTCTCTCAATAAAAATAAAATCTATTAACAATTTAATTGGTGATCAAATAAATGAAAGTAACGATAAAAATGATAATAAACGTTCACATATCAAACAAAATTAAAGTCAAAATAATATCAACTAAAACGTGTTTGAAAACTAGCAATTAATCACATGGCTACAGCCCAACTAATAACATCTCTGTTAAGAGAAATAGAGTGTGTAAATATGAAGACTTTTAACACTTTTTTAGACAAATTAGCTAAAAAGACAAATTAGCCTTTTCCTACTCTGTAGCAATGCAAGAATGTTGCTGTATTAGTGTCTGTGTTTGCGTTTGCGTCTATGAAAGGATTCTACCATGGATCCAAGAAGATGGAATTAGAACATGTCCTGATGTGTAACAATTAAAATGATAATTTGAAATTATTCATGTTAGTCAATGTTCTTAATTTAATTAAAAGTCTCTCTCGATAACAATCAAATATATTCCATTCACGTGACAATTCTATCTCTCGATAAAATATGCAAATATGTAAATACATTAACAAGTGCTAAAACACATATTGAAATCATATAAAACATAGATGTATATTTCTATCATCTATCAAATCTTATAATATTTATTACATTGTGCTTAAATTTTATTGTCTCTCTCGTTAACAATAAAATCAATTAACAATTCAATTGGTGATCAAACAATTGAAAAAAACGATAAAAATAATAATCAACATTCACACATCAAACAAAATTAAAATCAGAATAATTAATTAAAAACTAAAAATATCATAATAAGAGTTTATCTCATCCTAACAATATATAGAACTAGCCAAGTATATTGGAATTACAAGAAATCATATTAAATATATAGAATATCATCCGAAATTGTGAATTAATGAATGAAGGAAGATGGATTTTAACGTTCTTGAATTTATTCAAAGCAATCTTCATAAATTTTCAATAATTCTTTCGCTTCTTTACCCACAAATCACATGTTTATTCTCCAATTGATAAGTTCTTGAACTTCGCATTTGAAATATTCTCACAATATATGATTTTGGCCCTCTTTTTTTTTTTTTTTTGATGAAATATGGATGAATTTTTTATGTATAATGGTGTACGGGAGGAGAGAGTTCGTGTAAGAGATGTCTAAGTATATATAGTGGCCGAGTTTAGATCAAAAATCTCGTAAAAATTCTTGCCAAGTTGAGTTTAAATTGAAAAAGGAAATTGCTGATTTGAATGTTGAAATAGCTCACGCATGTGCACCGCCTCTCCCCGTGCATGCACAGGCAAGATGAATTGCTCTCGGGTTGGTAAAAATAGCGTCTTTTGCTTGCGCCATGAATGGCCTATGTGCATGCCTTGGTTTACATCCGTTCGTCCTGTACAGCTTTCACTATTTTGGCTATAACTTTCTTTTCTGATATCTGATTGAGGTGATTCAAAGTGCGTTGGAAAGATGACTCAAAGGGATACAATTACTTTAGAAATAGAATTTCTCCAATTCGAATGTTTGCTATCCCCAAAAATGGGTCTCAAGTTGAGACTGAAAATTAGGAACATAACCTTTTCAGCTATATTTCACTCATTTGACTTCAAATTGTATCCAATTGATCATATGTGATCTTCAATCATCATTTTATAATTTGAATCAACTATTGGATGTTTACACTTTTGTTCCCATACTTTTGATTTCACCATTTTCCTTGATTTTTTTTTTTCTAATTTCTCATTCAACAATTGGGTTTTACCTATATAATATAAAATAAAACAATTTAGGATATAGTTTGTCAAAAGCACCGTCAAATATCGTTATTATAGATCCTGAATAAGTGTATAAAATACACTTATCATGGCTTGCTCATGGCATCCACATGGGACAAAGTAGTAACAACAATATCTGACTGATCAAACTTTTTTTCTTTCAAAATCTCGCCTACAAGAAAATATTGAGGGAACAGTTTACACAACTTTATATGAACCTAAGTGGAAATATCATATGAACTTTAGAAATTGAACTCCAAATTCTAGACAGAAATGAATTAAGAAAGGGGATAAATAAAGTGATTGTTTACTGTCCTGTCGAGTTTAACTTATTTATTAATGGTAAATCTCACATTGTTTAAATATAAAAAAACAATAATAAGAATTTACTCTTAACCAAGGTATCAGAATCACTATAGAAGGGAGGGAGAGGGGCAGGGACAGAGGGGGGAATGTAGAGGCAAGTCCCCGAGGTATTGTGAACATTTTATTTATTTATTTATTGCTTTTTTTTTTTTCATTTCAAATTTTGTCATATTTTATGTTTAATTATATAAGCGAGACAAATCAGAAGTTAAATAGAATTTTTATTATATCTCTGTAAAAAAAATGAAAGTAGATAATTAAATTACATTTTAGCAGATTTTTAACTTGTTATTTTGAACTCACCGTTTAAAAGTATTTCAATAAGACACGTAGTGAAGTTTTTCAATGCTTGAAAAGGAACTAAGAACTTACTCCGGCGAGTAAAAAACTTAGTAAGATGAAAGATGTGAAGCCGAAATGGAAATTAAATAATTAATTACTTGATTATTAAATTTATTCCTAGAAGTCATATTTTTACCTCGTTATTTTGAACTTGCTGCTTAACAATTTTTCAATTTAAAAGATGTATTGCAAAATTTTCCATGAATACTTTAACATGGTACTAAAAATCTATTTTGCTTCTACTTTCTCAACAACCTTTTAGTTGAAATGTCATCATTTGAATAGTAGTACCTCGTCAATTCCACACCCAACAAAAATATCATCAATGCTAGAACAACTTAATCAGACAACCTTTGAAGCTAATCAACCACCCTGTATCTTATTACAACAGAAAGCTGCAAAAAGGGAAAAATATGGCGGAGACACCACATGCTATCATGATTCCTTTTCCATTTCAAGGTCATATTACCCCGTCTGTGAATCTTGCTGTGAAACTTGCTTCAAAGGGTTGTGCCATCACTTTTGTCTATACAGAATTCATCCACAAAATGTTGTCCAAATCCCATCACTCCAGTAGCGAGTTTGATTTATTCGCCGATGCATGTGAATCGGGTCTTGACATACGTTATACAACGATCTTTGATGGTTTTCCTGTGGAATTCGATAGATTTCTGCACTCGAAAGAGTACTGGGAGACTATGTTGAGAGATTTCCCAGCTCGTGTCGATGAATTTGTTGGCAAAGTAATGGGAAAAAATCATATTTAGGCACCGTTTGGTAACCATTCTTTTTTTCATTCTCATTCTTCTACTAATTTTCAACCACACATTCATCAATAAAATAATATTTTCCATCACATCAATAACTTTTCCTTCATTTTCAACCACAAAAAA